TAATAAAAATTTCTTTAATTTTAAAAAAATTAATTTTTCTTATGTTTAAATTCAAATATCTTTAATAACTAAAAATAGAAAATTTTGTGTAACCATGGTGGAAATAGCAATTTTTCAAGGTGAAAATAGTAGATCCCTTATTTTATATATATATACATATATAAGTAATATTAAAATAAAAACAAAATAAAACAAAATAAAACAAATAAAAAAAAAAAATATATATATTGTTATGTCAGAAAAAAACCTATCCAAAAGTAACTTGGAAGATATTTGTAAAAACCTAGGGTTGCCTACAGAAGGAGTAAAGACAAAATTGATACAAAGATTAAAAACACACTCAAATTTATTAACAATACCAAATAGAAATTTGAACTTATCAAATATAAGAGAAAATGAAGCCTGTAAAGATAATACTGTCTCAGATATTGATCAGCATAAGACTAATTTGAAGGCAGATAAAAATGTTATAATCAACAATTTAAGAGAACAAATATAGCAAACAAGAAGAAATAGTTCAAAAAAACTACCATTGGTAGTACATCAAGATTGAATGGAATTTGCACCAATACAGGAAACTATTAATCAGCTATATAGAAGTTTTTTAACATCTAATAAATAAAGATTGCCTGAGAGTATAAATGATAATCATTCAGATTCTTTAAAAAAGTTAGTAATGTCAGTAGTAGTACAAGTAAATGAGCTAAAATAAATAAAGCTTGGCTGGGTTATAAATTCGAAAGGTCAGGTAATTAATATGAAAATGACATGTTGTATACAATTGAAAAAGAACTTGACTTGGCCTTGAAGTTGTAAAATGCATTAGAGGTTGTATTCTATATTTCTGAAGCATATGAGTTTATGGTAGATAGGTTGGTTACATTAAGAGTTGCAGAAGAGTTTGGATGGGATGTTGCTCTGGCCCTGCTCAATATATAAGATAAGCTATTAAAAGGGAAGAAACTCTTAATTAAAAAAGCAAAGACTTTGGCAAAAGTATGGAAAAATAAAAGAGAAAAATTTATGATTCTGGAGAAGGTCTATTTCAACCTTACTGAAAAAATAATTATCATAACTAGAGTTTAAATACCTCGAAAGCTAAGTATCAAGCAAATTATAGATAGTTTTTTTAGTTAGGTTATTAGATAGAAACTGGAGTTCAGGTGCAAGAAATAAATGTTATATCTGCAGAAGCACAAGATATTTTGCAAACATATGCCTATCAGACCCTTACCAGAATTCAATATATGAGAAAAAGTTTAATTATAAATCAAGAGGCTATAATGTCTACTGAAGTAAGTTTCCAGGACCCAATGAAGATAATAAATATGATTGACTATGCTCAAGGTCAACAAGGAATACTAGTAGCAGGATGGTTGCATTGGCAAGAACATTGGAACTATTGGAAATACAAGATTCAAGTGCTGAAACTTGTTTTAAGCTAGTTAAAAAATGGTATACCTTTATACTCCAAAGGATTAATGAATCTAGTAAGGCTACCAAATCCACCTCAATATGCTTTAATACAAGACTAAACAGTATGGTTAGAGATGAAAATAAGAAGACTGTTAAAAGTAAAGACAATTTTGTTTGTAGCAGATTCTCAAAACCAACTATCATACTTACTCAAAGTAAGCACAGTATTTTTAATATCCAAACCTAGGCCCAAAATGGCATCTCATTATAAATTTAAGAAATTTGAACTAGACACTCTTGGAGAAATCGTTCAAGTTTGAAGGGTTCAAGGCATTTTTGCATATATCATCATGAACATATAGACATTGCGCTCTTGAAGTCAACAGCGGCCTTGTTAGGCTTGGAAGCATTCATTTATATAATTGCTTATCGTTAGGTTACTATTCACATAAATAATCAAGTAGCATAGAGAACAATGAAAGCAAAAGAAAAGAAACTATAGCAAAAGGAGATAATATGCCAGATGTGGGGTTTTTGTGACAAACACGATATACAAATTTATGAGTTTTGTTGAGTATCTTCAAAATTAAATTTGGTAGATAAATTGACTTGTTTCTTCAATAGTTTAAACTAGGAATTAGTTCAGGATATATATATCAAAATAAACCAGAGATGGGCTCTTTTATGATAGATCAAATAGCAAGTTATTGTATAAGGAAAGTAGAATGTTTTAATAGTTATTATTACTATCTAGAAGCAGAAGCAACAGATTGCTTTACTACAGTCTGGAAAGACAAAAACAACTATATTTGCTCACTATTGAGTTTGATTCAAAGAGTCTTCAAACATGGGGCCCAATTTCAAGCAAAAGCAACAATAATTATATCAATATAGCTTGTGACTACATGGTGGCCAATTCTTTTGCAAAAACAAGTTAAGGTAATAGATTTGCCACCTGCAACAAATTGTTTTTTGCAAACCCAGGAAGCAACTTAATACTAGAGCTATGGAAAAATCAAAATTAGAGATTTCAGGTGGTCAGGATCTATTTTTAGAATTATTACTAAATAAAGCACATAAAGTTATATAGCCAAAATCAGTACAGTCAAGGCATATTCCAAATTGGAGATTATTTGAGATTGAAGATCTAGAATGATCTACAAAATTCAGCAAAATTTGATTGGCCCTGTCACATTTTTTTTATATCATTTTCTTCCAAAGGTTTTACAATATTTTTACTTACACTTTTTACCAAATGATATTTGAAATGATAATATAAAACCTTTACTTTCAATCATTCCAATTAATCCCTAATTATAACTTGAGCTAAAAAAAGTAAATGAGACCTCAAGATCAAGATTTTTTAATACAAAATTTGCTAGTTGGAACAAGCGAACTTGTAAGCTTTGTCATTACTGTTGGGGTGTTGTTTGTAGAATTACCATTTATTGGTGTGTTTTTTTGGTTTATTAAATCTTTTTTGTTAAAACTAAAGCTTTTCTCTCTTTTGTACTATAGGTTTCTTGAACATAGCACGGTAGTTAGATTTTTTGGATATAGCAAGGTAGAGTTAGATTTTTTTAGACTTAGCATAGTAGAGTTAGATTCGGGACTTGTAGTACAGTAGAGTTGGTTTCAGGACAAGTAGAGCATAGTAGAGTTAGATTCTTTAGACGTAGAATAGTAGTTATATTTTTGTATATAGCACAGTAGAGTTAGATTTTTTAGACATAGCAAGTAGAGTTAGATTTTTTGGATATAGCATTATAAATTTAGATTTTTTAGATATAGCACAATAGAATTAAATTTTTGGACATAGCATGGTAGAGTTAGATTTTTAAATATAGCACGATAGAGTTAGATTTTTTTGACATAGCACAATAGAGTTGGATTTGGGACAGATAGCACGGTAGAGTTAGATTTTTAGATATAGTACAGTAAAGTTAGATTTTTTGGATATAGCATAGTAGAGTTGGATTTTTTGGATATAGTATAGTAAAGTTGAATTTGGAACAGATAGTATAGTAGAGTTGAATTCAGGACAGGTAGCACAGTAGAGTTGGATTTGGGACAGGTAGTACAGTAGAGTTGGATTCAGAACAGGTAGCATGATAGTAGATTAGTAGTATAGTAATTAGATTCTAAATTTATAGTATAATATTTAGATTAGTAGTATAGTAGTTAGATTTAGAATTTATAGCATGGTAATTTGGTTTGTGATTATTAACACAATAGTGAGATATAACAGTAATAAATAAAAAATTATAAAATATTTTTGTATTTTGTTTTATTTTTTATTTTATTTTTTATGTATATTTTTTATTTTTTTTATTTTGATGATTTTTATATTACATAGTATACTGGTGTTAAACACCAATAGTGTGATTTTTTAATATTCTTTTATTATTTATTTTTTTTTCTTTTTTTTTTAAATTATTTTTTTATCATAATTTAGTCATAATTCAGTTAAAATTAAATAAAACTCTAGAATCATCTGACTGTTAATTATTTCTAAATAAGGTGCAAATCATTGATGATCAAATTAGAAATATGCTCTGACTGCAGTATATAGAAAACACCTTGCTAATCTATAAGAAAATTTGAGAATTTTTGCAAAAAATATAAACTAGATCCATGCCCAGCTCATCCAAATTCAATTTTAATATTTTTTGTCTAGTTGAATTTAGCATCAAAATCGCTTAAAATATGGTAGTATATAATAGTGATTGGCTACTATCACTACAATAAAAATATTCTTAACCCAACACAAAATTTTAACATCCAATGTCTTGTTAGAAACTTGATAAAGAGCACGGCTAGTGATAAGAAGGCTGTATAGCTATGGGACCCATTTCCAGTAAAGGCTGTATATAACTATGTTAACAACCCACCTAGTAATGTAAACAGGCAAATTTAGAGAAGGGATTGTGCTATGATAGTATTAATGCTCTATACTATGAGAAAACTCGTAGAATTTTGTAACCTACAAATTGCAGATATAAAAATAGAAGAGAAGTTTTTGTGTGTTAGAATAAATAGATCCAAAACAAATCAATTTGCAAAAAGGAAATTCATCTTAGTAGATCTAACAGACTTGCCTATTGTCTTTTAGGACTAATTTTGGAATATTTAAAATCAAGGGGTAAAACTAAGAATTATGATCCATTATTTGTAAATGTAAGAGAAAAATATATGTTAACAGGAACAGTAAATATAATAATTAAAAGAGTAGTACATTATGCAGGCTTAAATAAGAAATACTCTGGGCATAGTTTATGTATTGAAAGGCCAACTACTGCAATAAAAGCAGGTTTAACCTTGCCTCAAATTATAAGTATAGGAGGATGGTTATCAAGTTTCATGAAACTTTATTTCTGCATATTCTCTACAGCTTTACAGAATATGTTGGCAAGAATGGATTTTTTTAAAAAAAAAAAAAGAAAAAAAAAAAAAAAAAAAAAAAAAAAAAAAAAAAAAAAAAAAAAAAAAAAAGAGAGGTTTAAATATCTTTATATTAAAAATTATTAAAAATATTTGAGGATGGCTTTTTATTTTGTTTTTTAT